AGAGCGTGGCCTTGTATTGTATTAAAGTACATATATAAGTATATTCTAATGGTGCAGCTTCATATTGCAGCTAATTAATCTGACAGCTGGTTACTTCTATAAGAGGTGGTCACCATTCCCGTGCTTGTCACTGATGTTGGGCTCCTGCCTCCTTTATGGTGTTGCAGGAGGCCAGTTCAGAGAGTTGAACGGGCAGAAAACAGCTTAAAATCAGATAACTTACAGCTCCCCAAGTCACTTCAGTGAGGGAAAAGAGAGGAGTGAATCTCCCCTTCTGGCCATTACATTAGCCTCAGTAAGAAAAATACCCGTCAGGGTGGAGTTTCATGGGCAACTGGCTGCTCTAAGGTTGTGCTCCCATTGAAACAAATGGTCTTGCTGTTCCTACCCAGTTTCAGCCGTAGCTATGAGCTGGATCTGATTCCGATTTGAAAGAAAGCTCAACTTTAAACGGTGTCCGTACTGTGTCCACCACCCCACCCCACCCCCCCAAACCCAAAACCCAACACCCCAAACAAAGCACAACACAACTAATCTTCAAATTTTGAACCTCACTCAGCATGTTGTAGTGTAGCCTCTACTATACAACTACTCTACTTGCAAACAAACCCAAATGAATCAGCAAGCTGATTTGTTTCATCGTTCTGGCAGGAATGGGCGGAATCACATCTTTTGGCAGCAACAGGTAGTTTGATCAGTTTATGCTGACTGAGAAACAGGGAAGTTGGATTGAAACTGAAAAATAAAGTTTCAGTTTATTTAGTCATATTCAATTGTACACGGCATTTCTCAGCATCTCTGCACAGTGCTGGAGCTGTAATGGTGCAATTTACCTCTGAAACAAAAACGAAGTTTATAATGATTTTATTTACCAGAGTTTTAGTGCATTTTTTATTAAACTTTATTAGGATAGCTTGACTTTCAGACTAATTAAAACACTACGGTTTGTCTTGTTTCCAAAAATACTTTGTTTTTAATATTGCAATCACTTAGCTAAGAGAAGAAGGAGTAATTAAAGTTATTCTCAAGTTGCACAATTTAGTTTATTTAAAAATGCTTTATATAGTTTTTAGATGAAGTTATAAATGTTCACTTTGGAACTACCTGAAGATTAATAGTGATGCATTTGAAATGCATTATTTTTTTATTGATTCTTAATGTAGTAAATTACTGAAGTTATTTGGCAGCAAACAGAAATAGCCAGTGATGTTGTTCACATTTATTTTCCTGATAGCATCACAATTTGCATTAATTGCATTGCAGCTGCACTCACTTATATTAAAAAGCTTCTACTATAATTAATCCTTTTTATTTCAAATAATTTTGGCACAATTTCTAGCAATAAACACTCATAAAAGACAGACACTTGAAAAATAACATACAAGTTTCTTCAATATACCTATTGCTGTTTTTTCCTGACAAGGAATTATTGATAGGCTTCTAGGATCAAGTGTTGCAAGTGGCTAAGACTTAAGACCAGTTTGAAAAATGCTAAGTGGATTATTTTGCATAAAAAATAGACAGGTTTTGAATTTGTGTAATTAACCTGTGTTTAGAAAATACCTTGATTTATGTCTACATTTGTATTTCAGTTGCATACATTATGGAAATTTAATTTATAATCCATTTAGCTGATGTGATCATAGTTTTTAGTGCTATCATTTATTAGTCCTTGTATATTAAATGCTCTAAAGGCTTAAACCTGCCTTGTGTAAAAAATTACACCTCTACATTTACATTTTATGAGTCATAGATGGAATTCCATTTTAAATTCGGGTAGCTTTGATATATTTAAGGAATTACAATGGCTTTATTGTTACTAATGCAAGAACAGCAAACACTGACCTTATACATTGCAAATTAATGATTTATCCCTCTAGTTTGCTTTTAAAGTCAACTATACAAATGAGGATTTCGACTTCTACACCTTGAATAAATCATATAGCTCTAAATATAATGCACCCTTTGGCTTTGAACTCGTTATTTTCAATTCTTTCTGCAAGGTCTAACGCATTTCATAGAAACGTTCTTTCAAAAGTTTAAGGAATTGTGTATATTTTTCTTAACGTCTTTGTTGGAATATCATTGAGTGATTACAGCTACATTGGTTCTTTTTTCCTTTTTTTGCTTATTGTGCTTCCTTTTCTAAGTTTGCAGCAGATTATGGAGGAATTAAGTAATGCCAAAACACTGCTCTTGAAGAGTAAAAAGAGAACAGACAATGATGTTATGTTGATGATGCCTTTTCTGATCAGCCTGGCAATGATATTAATGATACTGTAACGATTTGATTGTCATTGTTTGAGGTGCTGATGTGGCAAACAAACTGGACCACGGGAAAGGCTATGCACAGACAGCATGTTTCAGGGATTTTTTTTAAAGGCAACGGTCTTTTATTTTTCCTTTATTCATGTAGGCTTTCTCTAAATGATGTCATGCTTTCTCTTTCTAGCTCTGAAGTTTCCATTTCTCCTTCTTTTGAGAGCTACCATAAGTACTTTTTTCTTCCAATCAACAAAAAGTTGTTACTTATCGTGTGAAAAATACGTGAAGTTGCTTTGCGTTACATTGAAATGTGCTCATACAGTAGATCAACTGATAGTGGTATTGCTAGGGTTTTGTGCATTTTTGAAAATTCTTGAGGAAATTCAGTTTACAGTAAAAATAATTTTTTTCTTGAGTGCTGCAAATTCAGGTCAGGCTCATTTTTGGTTCAGTAATCTTTTGACAGGTCTAACAGTGTCAGGCATAGGGAGGATTGGACATACGATACAGGCATAACTGATAAGCTCTCAGCTTGGAAATTAGGATGGTTTGATGATGCCATTAAGCAGTAGAATTCACTAAAAATATGCAGCGATGTATCTGTATAATATGCAAGAGAAATAGTTTATTTGGATTAGTTTAAAATGTACTGGTTTTCCATAGTTATTTTTAAGGGGCAGACTATTTTACATGTAGCAATTGATATGAATGGAAAAATATTGCTTATGACGATGCTAATGGAGGTAGAGATGCTAACTTCTTTGGAAAACATCCTTGATGCAGTTGCATTGTCCTTTAGCAAACTTTGCTTTTCTTGCCAGTCTACGCAATTGATACACTTCCTGTTTGCTATCATACTTTGGACATGAAGATTAATGACAGATAAGCAGTGACCTTACCTTTTAAATCACCAGATATTTAATTTGTAAAATTTGGGAGCTTGATATTTCACAAGGATATTCAAATTTCAGTTGAATATTTTTAACTTCATGCAATATCTGGGCTATTGCCATACCAGAAGATCCTATTCAGGCACCAAACTAAGGGGGAATTACCAAAAAGTTGAGAAAGAGACAATAGCTTTCAGAATTCCTGCATGTACAACAGTAAAATCTAATGTGCTTTTAATTGCTTTGTTTATCAGGCTCTTTATGAAAATATGCTGGTGGAGCTGCCATTTGCTAGTTTTTTCCTCTCGAAATTACTGGGGACAAGTGCTGATGTTGACATTCATCATTTAGCTTCGTTAGATCCAGAAATGTACAAAAATTTGCTTTTTCTCAAGAGCTATGAAGGGGATGTAGAAGAACTTGGACTAAACTTCACGGTGGTAAATAATGACCTTGGGGAAGCACAGGTAAGAATATATTTAGCTTTTTTTGTTTTGTTTTATGTGTGACTGATGAATCATGATCACCCCTACTAATTCATTTTTTAATTTGAAAGTGGTATGAAACAAGTGCTGTGTGTTGTGAACCATCATCGGGATTCTGACTCAATATTTGGAGTAAACAATAACTAATGTGCTTAAAAAAAACCAAAACAACTTTTGATGATGATTTAAAGGTCTGGTCTTTTAAGTAGTACACTAAAGTGATTATTTTCTAACAGTCATACATGAAAAGTTCTATTGCCTGAGAATTTGTTGAACAAAATATTTTATGTTGTTTCTTTGATTGCACTTCAAATAATTGTCAAAGTTAGATGTTACGTAAACTATAGAAGTACTGCCTGGTTTTGGAATCAGAGTTAGAAATCAGAATGGTTTTAAATAATAATGACTCTTCATTGTGAGATAAGCGTTGTCTCCTTTAGCTGTAATTTTCAAAGTAGAGGGCCTGAAGTTAGGCCTTAGGCTTTTTTAATCCTTCTTTTTTTTTTTTTTTGAGGGGCTGAGACACCAGGTGGGTCAGAGGGGAGAAATGGGTGTTCAATGCTTCTAAAAATTGGGCCAGTTAGTTAGGTCCTTAAGTATGAGTTTTTAATACAGTTGTACTATATAATTAGATTATGGCTTTTGTTTGCTCTGTTGTGAGTACTAAAGATGACTTCTGCTCATAGCAGAAAATCAGTATCACCAGAGCTTGAAAGGTGTGCCTTTATTTGCTAAGACAGTTAACCTCCTTAGTTAAAGTCTTTTGTCATGCCTCCTCTTTCATTTTTTGAGGATTTAAAATTGTGTACTACTCATGGCCTACTTATACTCGATTACGGTATTTAATTAATAGTTGGGTCAAAAAGGTAGACCTGACAACATTGTGACGTGCAGCAGCATCTCAATTCAGCCTTGTTTCTTGTGGAGGAAACAGAGACTATAAAAGGGGGTAAGCAGTTCTCTTGGGTTTGCCTGTTGGTCAGGGAAGCCTGGAACCGTGCACATCTCACAGAAGCAGCAGCACCACTGTGATGCAGCAGCTAGTCCTGGAAATTGTTAGGCTGAGTTCTCTACTGCTGCTTAAATCATAGCAAACTTGATGTCTAAGACTTCTGCTTTAACAGCATCAGGCTCGGACTTCATCTTTACTCTTCTGTCATCCATTTCCTGTCATTTTGGAAGATCTTAAAACCTGGATTGCATTACAGTTTTAAAATAGTATCCTCAGATTTGCGGTTCCTGAACCATACTGAAGGGGAGAGTCAACAATTGCCTGATACAAGTAATGTTTCATATTAAATATATGCCGTATGTCATTTTTTCCCCTGGGTTACACTCCCTATATGAAAACCTTTGATCTGCACTGTCTTTAGAAAAACACTCAAAAACTTGAAATAAAGACATGTGATACAGATGTATCAGAAAGCATGTTCTTACAGTGCCTACTCTGTTGGACAATACTGTACAGTAGAGGGCCTGCTCTGTTGTAGCATATGCTGTTAAGTGACTGATACTGAATTGAGTTCTGTAGTACCTATGTATTTGGTTGCTAGGTTGCAAACACGCAAGATGACAGTTTCCAGTATAACCTAGGATTTTTGGGGGGGGTGGGGTGGGTGGGACAGGGAATCTGTTGTTTGTATTCTAAAGCCATTCATTTAAATGCACTTAAAGTAATAGTTTTGTGGATCGCAGCTAATACAAATGCAGTTTAGTCTCTAATTTGGCCAAGAAGGCCAACGGCATCCTGGCCTGTATCAGAAATAGTGTGGCCAGCAGGAGTAGGGAGGTGATCGTGCCCCTGTACTCGGCCCTGGTGAGGCCGCACCTCGAATGCTGTGTTCAGTTTTGGGCCCCTCACTACAAGAAGGACATTGAGGTGCTGGAGCGTGTCCAGAGAAGGGCAACGAAGCTGATGAAGGGTCTAGAGAACAAGTCTGATGAGGAGCGGCTGAGGGAACTGGGGCTGTTTAGCCTGGAGAAGAGGAGGCTGAGGGGAGACCTCATCGCGCTCTACAACTACCTGAAAGGAGGTTGTAGCGAGGTGGGGGTTGGTCTCTTCTGCCAAGTAACAAGCGATAGGACGAGAGCAAATGGCCTCAAGTTGCGCCAAGGGAGGTTTAGACTGGACATCAGGAAAAACTTCTTTACTGAAAGAGTGGTCAGGCCTTGGAACAGGCTGCCCAGGAAGTGGTGGAGTCACCATCCCTGGAAGTATTTAAAAGACGTGTAGATGAGGCGCTTAGGGACATGGCTTAGTGGGCATGGTGGTGTTGGGTTGACGGTTGGACTCGATGATCTTAGAGGTCTTTTCCAACCTTAATGATTCTATGATTCTAATTATAAATGAAAAGTAGCTAATATTTTCTGGAGAGTTTGTGGTTTCCATACTTTATACATCTACTCTGCATGTCCTCAAAAATTAGCCACATGGGTTAGAACCTACCTCAACAAGTAAGGTACAAAGACATAGAAAAGAGAAATAGCTCAGAAATAACTTACAAGGAGATCCAGGTTAGAGATGTTGCCAGCTCTACCTGCTGCAACAAAAACTGTAAAAAGTGCATTCTTGCCAAGAAGCCTGATTTGTTCATTAAAATTCTCTGAGGTCTACGGCTAGTATTATCAAGACTTTTGATATTTAATTGTTCGGCATAACTTTAAAAGGAAGAAGAAATATAATAGTGAGTTTCTGAGTAACTAAATGAAATGTAAGTTAAATTAAATATTCTGATGCTCTATTGCTATGTTTATACTTGGAGAGAGAACACTACACCTGTGAAGTATTAACCATTTTTTAGTGAGACTGCATGTTAGCGTAGTTCAACAGAACTAATTGGTTCTTGTCACTGTCTTCTGTGTTTTAATGCAACAAGTTACTTTTATACTTCATTTCATTACCTTAATAAACCTCATATGGCTGAATACATTTTGTCTGGTATTTGACTTGTGTAACCATTGCATACCAATTAATTGTGTCAAGGTAAGGCTAATTCACGTTGGAAAAAGAGCTTAATTTGCACTCCTTATGTTGAATGTACATTATCTCTAGTTTTCAGCTAAACAACCACTTTAGTGTCTAATAAATTAGTGCCCAATAAATGCATCATAAATCTATCATTGTAAATAGCTATCCTCATGACAGTGTCCATCCAGCAATTGTGGCACAAACGCATTATCTGCAATGAAAGATACATTCAAAAGGGGCTCTATTGCCTCTGTCAGTAGTAGAAGGTAGAAATTCTATTATCAGCGTATTGATTCCAATCCTGTAATGTGCTTTTAGATCCCATTAAACTATTGTCAAAGTGCATTCACCAGAAGTTGAAAAAGCTACTTAATAATTTGCACATTAGACCTGCTAATTAGGGGAGCTATGCCATCAACCTTATCTTCCAACCCCAAATAGCTTTAGCTTTTGATAAAGAACTATCTAATGCAGTGATACCAGCCTAGACTTCAACTATTGGATCTGCTGCATAAAAGGGTGGCCAGTAAAAAGTCTCAGAAGAATGTTAGCCTATAGTTACAGGTGCCTTCAAGTAGCTGTGTATATTGATTTTATTTTTCCTTTTATCTTGTAGATCAGATAGTGATAAAATGGTTATAAAATGCTTATAAGAAGTGTAAGGTTAACAAATTCAAGAAAATACTTCCTCTTTTCAGACCTCCCTCCCTCCTCCCTCCCTCTCAATGAGGAAGGTGAGTTTTGTGGCTGCCCAAGGCAAGAGAGGAAGATTCAAATATGTACTCTTCTTCCTTCAAAAAAGTTAGGTTCTGTATTGCAGCAAGTCTTCTCAAACATTGATTCTTGAGATTACATGGATCGGAACAGTTGAATATGAGAAGACTCCATAATCAGAAGACTCCATAATTTGTAGAAGTACAAATCCACAGAAGACCACTATAATGTATATGGCAGCGGTTTCTATGAAATCCATATAGTATAGAAGTTGGAGTCAGGACACCTTCTTTGGCTTTTTAAAACAGATGTGAATGCCATTGCTGTTACTGAAAATATGTTGACTCTCTAAAGGAGAGTTCTTTGCCTTTAAATTTCCCTGAGAGAAAAATTTTGAAGCCTTAAAAATAATTCTGAAAGTTTCTGTCTTGGCAGCTTCTTTACTAGGATACAGTGGCTTAGATGAATGATTTTGGAGGTTTTTCAGAAGCAAAATATTTAAGTTGAAGCTGATCCTTCTCAGGCAGATTTATAACACTTATGGCAAATGCATTCTTAGGCATTCAAATGCAATCTCCTACCTGGAACTCCTGCCTGAACATCTGGAAGGCAGATGACAGGGAAAGAAAGAAAGCCTTTATCTACTTGTTTTCAGACTGGGGAAAAACTTTAGGGGTTGATGTGAACAAAAGTGATCAGAGTCCAAGAGAAAAGATAAAATATTTTCATCTGTCCTAAAAACAAGTTTGTAAGAGTTCTTGACTATCTATAAGAGTGCTTTTTGAAATTGCACTGGAGATATGTCTTATGTCTTCATACACAAAAAAAGAATACTTACATGACAGGTCCCTTATTCTTTCCTAAAATATTTCCAGCTTTACCCTCTAAATATTCCTTTTTTCTCCATTATACTGGGAAGCAGCTGCCACTGCCAGATCTGTGTGAGCAGCAGCTAGCATTAAGTTTGTCTACCAACAGAGCCTTGCTGTTGTCTGCCCGTAATCACATTACAAAGTGACTTTTTGTGACAGATTATTATCGATAAGCCAGAAGATAAATCCCCTGAATTCTACTTGACAAATAATGATGTTATTCACGGTTTTCCTGAGTTTTGGTGTGTATTTATTTCATTATTATGCTAATGTTCAAATTAGTAGATGTAATAACTGAAAATGATCGTCTGAACCGTTCACTTGAACTGCAACCATACATTAAATAGATATACCTTTTTTTACAAACTGTGGTGCTTTTCTTAAATAAGAGCTTTAACGTAAGTTGAGCGCATTTTTTTAGTATGTACTTGCAGAAACATATAATTGAATTTATAGCCAAGAAAACCGTAAGTGCATGCAACTGTAGTTCCGAGCGTATCTAACCTTCAGTCAGAGGCCTAATGCAATACTTCTGTCCACATCACTAAAAAATGCAAGTACCTTTTCTTGCAGATTTTTTAAAATATGGGACTTTTATATGCCATTTTGATATTTCCCCTTCATTTTGAAGACATACTTTGTGAATATGGAGTCAAATTCTGTTATTTTATGGTATTGTCTGAATGATCTGAATACTTATCTAAATAATATGCATGATTTGATTGCTCTTAGAATATGTGATTTTGATAATGAACCAAGTTTAAATGTGTTTTGTGGGGGGTTTTTTGGTTTTTTTTTGGTTTTTTTTGTTTTTTTTTTTTTAAACTTAGATCTACAAAATAGAAAATAAGGAGATGACACAAGTCTGCACGTTTTGGGAAGTTTTCTATTCTCGCCCATCCTGCATAGCTATCTTGCACCATCTAGTGGTGAAAATTGGATGGATGAAAATAAAAATGCAAGCTGATAAATCTTCTTAGGTTTTATAAATTGTGTTGTGGCCCTTTTTGAAAAGGAACTCTTCAACAGTCATTCCTGACATTTACAATTAAGTGGGAATTCTACAATAGTCCCTTTAAAACACCATGAAAACAATGAATGAGTAAAAAGTGAACTGCATCTACATTTACTATAGCTTTACTGCCAGCCCAAGTGTTACTATTTTTTGTCTTCTCTTTTACATCTTTCTTAGCCTTTGTGCCATAATATATTTATTATTCCTGCTACATTAGCCCCTTTGTTTCAGACTGTGATGATACTTTGACAAAATGGTGGTAGAATTAATCTCATATTGACAAACTTTGAAAATGGATAGTTAGATCACTGGAAAACCCCAGGAAATTTGGTTAACTGGATGCTGTAGTCTTACTTGTGGCAATGCAGGGTTGGGGGGAGGAAGGGGAGCTACGCAAGTGTTGCTGGATCAGAAATCAAGGTTTGCTACTTAAAAATATAAAAATAAAAGCAAAAATAGGATTTTTTTAAAAAATATTTTTTCCTATTTTCTAAAAATAGTGGTCAGAAAGAGTACAGCAGGTTTTTTTTTCTCTGATTTGCAGGAAGAACATTATAGGGAGAGAGAATAGCTTTTATTATTCAATGAATACAGCTTTTCTGGCATCCTTAGATCACTGTGGAGACAATACTATTATAATGCAAACATAAGCATAAATTAATCTGTGTCCTGATCTCTTTTTTGCTGACCTGCAGGGAAGGTTAGACGTTTTATTTCACCTAGTGCTGGGATGAATCTTAAAACACAGTAGTTTTCCAGAACACCCTGCCAGTAGTTCCCTTTTGCTATTTTAGGAAGTCAGTCAGTTCAAGCATCTTTTCTTACAGAAATTACTATATGCAAATGGAGTAACAGCTATTAGTTAGTTTATTGTTGGTGTCCGTATTCTTAAGAGAAGCTTGATGAGTTCGGTGATACAAATATGCTTTAATATGACCAAATCCAGTGTGTCCATACTTAAAAGAGAGCAATTGCATTTAGTGAAGTACTGACAAAAGAACAGGTAATTATGCAGTTCTGCAAAACAGATAGAGAAGATCTGTAAGTGGGCAGATTGCAGTGTTGAGGTCTCAACAATGATCTCTTCATGTGGAACATCATTGGTAGCTCTGATCCTGTAACACTAAGAGGACAGGAATTTAATAGGTAAGAGAAAGCTTTGTGATCTTGTTAGGCTTTGTGAAAGGGTATTTTATAGGAGGAAATTAAAGGAACTTGACTTATTTTAGTTCAGTGAAAAAGTCTCTGGGAAGATTAATGAAGTTGCTGCCCGTAAGTAATACATCATGGATATAATTGAGGAGGAAGATAAAGAGCTGGTTAAGCTATAGGGCAATAGTGAAATAAGAACAATGGGTATGAACAAACTTTACCCATTGGACTCAAAGTGGAAATTAGAATGTTTCTAATCATTAGATGAATCCAATTATTGACTAATTTTCCAGTGACAATAGTAAATCTACTATAGTGGGATGAAACACAGTACATTTCTAGATCGCGTTGTTGCCTGCAGTAGCAGAGGAGAAAGCTTAGCAGCGCAGAGGCCCCTTCTCATCAGATGTTTCCACTGCGGTGTGGAACATGTCCCATACTTCTATTAATACTCCTTGTGGACTCAGTAAAAATATCCTTGCCCTCAGGCGAGTCAGTGGCACCAGGTACTGGCCTGTACTCCCTAGACTGTCTGACTGCATCACATGCCGGGCTCCTCAAGGGGTGGATCCCAGAGAAGGCTATCCTGCCTCTTGTGTCCATGGATCTTGTTGAAGGGGACTTGCTCAGAAGGGAGCAAACTAATGTGTGCAGGGCGTGAAACAGTCAGCTAAACTGACACCTTCATTTTACTTAATTGTTCAGGGAGTAGGTCTTAAACATAGTCAGTGCTACCTACACCCAGAGATGGTGGGGTATTGATGAGGTTTTTTACTGTAAGTGTAACAAAATCAAGAAACTTGCAGCTGAAGGATTAAAGGGGGAAGTAAGACACATTTTTAACACCTATTGTAATTCAGGTTGCTCTAGCTTATCAAGGAAAGTGGTAAATACTCCATTACATGGAGTCTTTACACCAGGATTGCCTGTCTCTCTAAAAAATGTGCTCTAACTCATCTATGGATTTATTGAGTTAAATACAGGAATCTCTAGACAGAATCCTCTGGCCCGTGTTACCTGGGAGGTCAGATTCACAGATCTTAATATTCTCTTTTGGCCTTAAAAACCTATGAATCAAGTAAAAATCTGAATGCTCAAAAGCACTGCGAATTTTTACTCTTACCACTTTGCATTTTGCTTAGTCCTGGAACAGCTTACATTATTGGGTAGCATGTTACAAAAGAAGCTATTCACATGTTTAATTCTCTGTGCTGTAAAGATGTGATCGTTACCACAGACTGAAATGCATAGTTACTTAAAAAAAAAAAAAGTTTAAAATTGCTGACTCCAGAGTCTAGAAAAACGAACTTTTTTCTGAAGGCTTCAGAAGGTGACTGTATCTCAGCTTTTCAGGTTTTTTTATCCTCTTCTTAGAACTCAAATAATCCTTTCAGATTGGGCTACTACGCAGCAAAATTATCATCTTGTAGTAAAGAGTAGAATATGTAAAGGTCAGTAGTGTTTTAATAACAACTGTTGTTGATCCTGGTTTATATCTTACTGCAATTATAGTATCTTTGTTTTGTTTTTTTCTTGTTAAAAATTCTTCCATGCTGAGATGTCTTGGTGTACTTGAAGGACAAAAGCTTCTCAGTAGAAAAACAAAGTTTAGGCTTGATTTTTTTTTTTTTTTTTTTTTTTTGTTGAAAGTACCGAAGATGTGTAACTTGGATTTTCAACAATAGGAATTGTGAATGCTTATCATTCTGTAGAATAGGCTTGTATCAGAATCTTAGTTTTGACTCAGCAGACATTGCTTTTACCATAATGTGATCCTGCAGAATTCACGATCACCAAACAGTTAGAGAAGAGCCTAGCCAGTCAAGCACAGCTTTCCTAATCCAACTGGAAGGAGAGTGCTGTGTGTGAGATCTGTGCTTGTACAGGTTACTTTCTCTTCCAGGGCACTTACTAGCATCAGTGATTAGCATCAGTGAAGCTAGGGACGAGCTTGCCAAGAGGAGATTTTCACCTCAGTTTCTGTCGGACTTGCAGTGGTGCATTTAGTGTTACACACCATCTCCTATAAAAGAGCTCTGACTTTGCCGAATCTGCTTTCTGGTAATAAACCACGGGGCCATGTGGTCAGCTGTATTAACTGGAGATCTAGGTCTAAAAACTGGATGCCATAGAATATGCTCTTATGAGTAAACAGAAAAAACCCTACCTTTATAACTTGTCATAATCTTTTATCTTATTTTGAGGTGAATATTCTTGAGTATATTCTAGTAAACTTCAAATATATACATCAATTACTAGAATGTTTTGCAGTTCAATTTTATGGTTACAGCACACAGAATTAAAGTTTACCAAGATGATGAAACTTGTTACGTTTATAGGTGGTTGAGCTGAAGCCAGGTGGAAAAGATATTCCTGTTACCAGCGCGAACCGAATCGCATACATCCATCTGGTGGCAGACTACAGGTTAAACAAACAAATTCGACAGCATTGCCTTGCTTTCCGTCAGGGACTGGCCAATGTTGTGAATCTTGAATGGCTTCGAATGTTTGATCAACAGGAAATACAGGTACTTCTGCTTAAAACTGCAGAAAACAATTTCTTTAAACAGAAATAAATGCTAATTTTTGCCTGTAATGTAATTGTCTAATTTCCTTCACTATTAGGTTCTGATTTCTGGTGCCCAGGTTCCTATTAGTTTAGATGACCTTAAATCTTTCACAAACTATTCAGGTAAGTATATTTTACTTAAATAAAAAAATGTATTATGACTGACTCAGGAATAAACAGACTTGCTTTTTATCCTAGCTTTTAAAAAAAAGTTGTAGGGTCATTCTTGTTAACTTTGGCCAAACTCTCTAGACGGGCCTGAATTTCAGAAGATTCGGTAAAATTACAACTTAATTTTATAAATGCTGGGAGATATAGGTATGCAGTTTATTTTATTCGTACACTTAAATACAAGTTTATAGCCAGATAATTAGAGGACTTGTAATTCATTTTCTAAATGGATGTTAGTCAATGTTGTGTCTGGTTGCTCTGAAAATAAGTCTGAAATGACTTTGGGATGGTTGTTCCTACCACTGCATTCAGATACTTGCCATTTCTCAGACAGCCTGAAGAGAGAGCTTGTATTTTTTCCTTGTGAGAAATGCAATGTATCTTACTTAATTTTTCCCTGCATTTATCATGAATGTAATCAAAAAGTAGCTACTATGTCATCAGTTCACATCTGAGCTTGTTTCAAGGTAAGTTGATTCATTAAATAACATCCTGAGTCTTGCAGATTTTGCAAACTCTTGGAGTAAAAGGCAGTAATCCAAAGTTACTAGGTAAATGCTAAATTAAATAAAATTAATTTAAAATAAACAAATAAGATTCAGTGAAGAAAACTGCAGTTAAGAAGCTGAGGGAGATAGTAGTCATGGGTAAGCAATGAATGAGAAAATCAAAATGCAGTGGTCAGAGATCTATAGATACTGGAAGTCAGCAGTGTAAGCCTGCTGGTTTTCATATTTTCCCCAAACTTTTCAAGATTGATGCTAGGTTTTCTGAAGAATTTATTTCTTACATGAAACTATTCTACCTATAAATCATTTAAATCTCATTGTAGGTGGATACACAGCAGACCATCCTGTAATTAAAATATTCTGGAGAGTTGTAGAAAGCTTCACAGATGAAGAGAAACGCAAACTACTCAAGTTTGTAACCAGCTGCTCTCGACCGCCTCTTCTGGGGTTTAAGGTATATGTCTTCCTGTCTTCCTGGCAAGTTTCTGTAAATATTACAGATTGATACAAGCTTTTCATGTCTGTAGGCATTTGCAATTTGAGAAGAATGTTCCTCTGTGGCTACAGAAACACTTCTATGTTTGCATTCTTGTGTATAATGAGTATAGTTTTAAAATAGTTCATGAAATGTTGTTCTGTTGTTTTCTATTTTAACTGCAAAATTTGGTAAGCCTAAAACCACATTGGTTAGAGTGCTTACTCTTTGTCATGGAAGATCCTTGCTGCCATTTCATGTTACTGTACAGAAGCAGTATCGCTACCAGTTTCAAGGAACAGATTGAGTTAAGAATAATGTCTTTTAAATCAGGTAAAAGAGGATTTAGGATATAAAAGCAGCTATTAAATTTGAACCTTTTAAATTAACCATTTGAAGAGGGAGATGTATTGTGTTTCTTTCTAATTACCATTTATCTGCTTATAGTGTCACAGCTCATTACCGTTTGTATCTAAATATTTTGCTGCTATCTTTAGATTGCTGTTTACAGTGAAGCCTAAGTATGAAGAAAACTTTTGTCTACAGCTTATAAAATTAAAGGGAGGCTGAGGCAAGTGGAAGACATTTTGAAACTAAATTCTGGGGATGTTCTACCCATGAGTTTTCAGCTGGGCTGCAAAATTCTGGCTAAGAACCAGCCATGGACTTCATTTCCTCTAAAATGTGGGAACATTCAATGCTTTTCTGTAAGAATATAAAAGAATAAATTGCTTCATAGCAAACACCATCACCTTCAGTATAGTGGTCAACAGCATGTTTACTGTTCTACTATTTAGTAAAATTAATACAAAGGTGGGCTTGTATGGAACAAATACAGGCATTGCATCATCCAGTTTCTTACAAGTCAGAGTAAGATTTATTGCTAAACAAAATTCGAGTACATGTACTTAGTAAAATTTCACATAATAAAGTACTCTGATACAATATTTAATTAGCAGTGGATAGTAACTAATTTCCTACATTTAATTAGGTAAAATAGATAGATGAACCCATGAGAAATGAATGCAGGTATTGTGTAAGTCCGAAAGGTTTATTAGCTGTTTTGTAAAATAAGGGGTGTTGAATGAACATTATCTCATTATAGAAATACTTCAGGGACAGATACTGACATTTTATATAGGAACAAGGAATTCAGATATACATAATAGTCTGGAGGTGGAAACAACATATTTGGAATTTTGCACAATTTTTTCTTGAATCATACTGTGAAAGTTCATTCTGGTGGGGGTTTTTGGGGGGTTTGTTTGGGTTTTTTTTATCAGCATTTAAAAAAATACGTGAAAGGCAAATGCTAGAAGAATTTCTTCTCAGCTTTAGGAATGGGGCCCTTTCCTGTGACATGTCCTGAGGGTGACACATGATAAAGATATCAGAAGTAAAAAATGAACAAAAAACCCCACCTTCCTCTTGCACACACACAACTTAGATGTTTGTAGTACTTATCATTGTTTTTCTCTTATTGAATTAAACAAAATTCATTCTAGAATTTTCAAACTTTTGATGATTTACTTTTTTCATAAGTATGGTTTTTCTCTGGAAAACAAACAAGACAACACTCCAGTGTTGAAATCACAGTGGTCTCAGTCACAGACCTCTGACACTTGAATGATTTAAAATATATAAAAGCGTATGTGGGTTGTCATACAGTAATAAGTGGATCAGTTGCTAGGGGTGATGAAAGAATACTCCCAGTAGCTTAAACAGCTTTTTTTCTGGCTGCAGAGCGATTTTGAAATGGAAGAGTTGTTTCTAGTGCCACACTCTGCAGGGAAGTGTGGCCCTTTGCCCTTGACTTCTGTCTGTCCCCTTACGCTGCAACTTCACGTTTTCTTCCCTTTTCAATCCTTTTATTTTCCTATTTCTTTATAAGCTGCTACGGGTATGCAGCACTGCCATTGCAGCGTGTGATCATTTAAACCTCCCTTTGGTACAATCGTTCTGTAAACCTCTGCGCAGTCTCACCCTCTGCATAATCCCTTCAGCTGCTGTAGAAAGTGCTGTGTGGTGCTGTTAGCATGTGGTGGATCGGCAACCTATCCTCCAACTTAAATATCTATAATCTGTAGCTCAGCTACACTCCTTTTACAGGCACCTAGGAGAGGAATGAGCACTTTAAGTTGGTAATTTGTCCAACTGTTCTACGTGTCTACTTCAGGATGAAATGAATCATGTCTTAGATTCCGCAAAACATTCTAGCTAGATCCCCTTTAACACTAAAGAGAGCCTGCGGTGACTAGATTTGGATATGGAGACAGCTGATGGCTGTTTAATCACATGAATCCTATCTAGGGTATTCATTGATTGGTTTGTGTGGTTGATTATTTGAAAGCCTGCAAGCATTTCTCTTAAACTCTCCAAGTCTGTGTGAATATCACTGTACAGTACTCTAGCAACAAACAGGATTTTATAGGACAGTGGGAAGAACGATTAGAAAACTGTGGGATGAGACGAAGATAGAACAGTGCACATCAGTCAATGTGCACAACAGTGCATATTCTCATCAAGGGAGAATTGGGAAACAATTGTGGAAACAGTAAAGAGAATTCTCCATTTGTTGTCATCCTTTTAATTACAAGGGGAGAGCAGGAAATGCAGATGTAGCTACCCAGCTTTGAGGTAGCCAACGTGACATTTGAAGAGATGGAGGAAGTGAATCAAAAGTCTAAAAATATTAAGGTTGACAGTGACACATTAGAAACAGGACGTAGCGAAGCCACATGTGGAAAGTTGAAGTTTGTGTGTGTACTTGGGAGATAGACCACAACCTGACTTTAACACACTTGGCTAGGAAAAAATAGTCATCAAATTTTCAGCATGATAGCGGTAAGTTAAAAGACTAATTCATCGTACAGCCGACTTGCAAGCTCAGCCACATGCAACAGTCTTGGCAACAGAAAGCAGAGTGAAAAGACATTGCTGCTGCTTTGCTGGGCAACACTGAGCAGGAGTTCGGTCAGTACTTGCATGGTGCTTGCAGTAGTATCTTGTTAACACGGATTTACCAACAAACCAGGGGTTTGCCAGGAAATGCTTGCCAGAAAAGGAAGTGGGTGGTTGGTATTGTCATTAGCAATAACGTCTTGGTAGCCTACGACAGTGTGTTTTTTAGAGCTTTGAAGGTGAAGAGTGCAAAGCCTCAGGAGTGCTGAATATTACCAGCCAAATAACTGCCTGAATATATTTATGTTGGTGGTAGACATTAACACAAGCTATCTTCAAAATTTGTTTACACTTTTAATATGGGTACTACATTTTTCTGAGAGGAACACAATTTCTGGTTCTCACTCTGAAATCTTCTGTATGCTCTATATTGTGGAACCTTCACGTTTTCTTAAAGTTAGTGCATGTTAATTTAAGATAAGGAAATGTCTTGACATTCATAGCTTATAGATAGCACAGTTTAGCTTTGCATAATTTAAAAATTTTAAACTCTTGCTGCCAGATTCAGACTCAGAATAACATTTACTAAAGCTAATTAAAGTTTAATAAGTTTAATAAATGTGATTGTTACGGACAAAGAAAAATCATTAAAGCGTGGTTGAAAATTGTTAAGTTCCAATCAGGTCACATAATAAATTGATGATACTTTTCGCTTCCAAACTATTGCAGTTTCCCGCTGTACAGTATTTAATTATGCAACAAATGGTGCCCTTGGCATGACATTTCAATTTAGAACTTCATTTTTCCATTTTTAAAGCTAAAGTAGGGGAATTCAATTAGCATTTTGAAAGGAACACTAAAAATGCAGCATTTTAGCCATGAAATACTTTTTAAGGCCTCCATTTGAACAATAATTTAGCTTAGAATCTAATTGACCTTTTGCCTTGGAGCTGTTTTTTTTTTTTTCCCCAGTTTCTAAAATCAGAGCTGTTTTACCTCAGGCAAGCATTTGATAAAGTGAATACTTTCTTGCCAGCAAAAGCAGTGCTTTAGAGGTAACAAATAAATATCTTTTTCACGATATTCTTTTCTCGGAAGAAAAAAAAGTCAGATTTTACTAAAACAATTACATATTACGTACAAAATGTCTTAAAAATCTGTTCCTCAGATCAATAGTTACCATGTCAGAAGAATAATCAGGGTTTGACAAGTTTATATCATTATAGAGTCATTATGCACATCAACATCATTGCAATAACAGCTGA